ACACACACACACACAAACACACACGTGCACCAACACACACACACAAGTGCACAAAAATGCATGATGCATGTACACACACAGACACACACAAACATAGACACACACACACACGTGCACAAACACACATGACGCATGCATACATACGCAAACACACACACACAAATAAAGACACACACAGAAATACACAAGCAAACAAACACAGACACACACACGTAAACACACAAGGACGCAAACACACAGATACATACAAGCAAAGAAACACACATATATAGACATACACAAACACACATGCGCTCAAACACACACACAAACAAATACACAAGGACACAAACACACACACACACACATAAACACACACACACACAAACACACACACACACACATAAACAGACACACAAACATGCACACACATACACACACACAGGCAGAAAAACCCAGACACACAACCACAAATAAAGACGCACACACAAACACACAAGCAAACAAACACAGACGCACATGAAGGCATGCACACATACACGCAAACAAGCAAACAAACACAGACCCACACACACACGTAAACACACATGGACGCAAACACACAGACACACACATGCACAAGGACAAAAACACACACAGACACAGACGAACACACAAACAAGCAAACAGACAGACACACACGCAAACACGCACAGAAACACACACACAGACACACATGCAAGCACACAAGAGTGCAAACACACACGCACACAGACATAAACGCACAGACGCAAGCAAACAAACAAACAACAGTAAGTTGTAAGTAATTATAATAAAAATACACATAAAATACAAGTTTATATTTGGATTTATAATGCAAAAATGTGCATGCGTGTGTGTGTGCGTGCGTGTGTGTGCGTGTGTGTCTGTGTCATTGGTAGTAGTATTTCTTGCATTGCCAGCAGAGGGCAGCACTGAAACATTATCACTGTGGGTTAGGTTTAGTGGACAGAAAGTACTGTCATTAGAAAACAGCAGAAGGCCATGTCAGGTGTGTGTGTGTGTGTGTGTGTGTGTGTTACCTGTGCCCTCTCTGCTCAAACAGCGGCCAGCAATAGGGTCAAATTCCTCCTGTCCGTTCTCACATTCACACGTGAACGAGCCCTCGACATTCCAGCAGCGCGCAGATCCACACACACCCTGCATCGCCTCACACTCGTTTATGTCTACGGAGACACACACAATACAATACATCTCACCTTCCTTTGTGAGGGAAGAGGGTTTACATGTTGCGAATTTGCACCTTGTAGTGTAAATTTTCACAAGTAAAAATAAACTAATAAATAAGAGTAACCGAGTGTGTGTGTATGAATGAGTGTGTGGGTGTTTCCCAGAGATGGGTTGCGGCTGGAAGGGCATCCGAGGCGTAAAAACTTGCTGGATAAGTTGGCGGTTCATTCCGCTGTGGCGAGTGTGTGTGTATGAATGAGTGTGTGGGTGTTTCCCAGAGATGGGTTGCGGCTGGAAGGGCATCCGAGGTGTAAAAACTTGCTGGATAAGTTGGCGGTTCATTCCGCTGTGGCGAGTGTGTGTGTATGAATGAGTGTGTGGGTGTTTCCCAGAGATGGGTTGCGGCTGGAAGGGCATCCGAGGCGTAAAAACTTGCTGGATAAGTTGGCGGTTCATTCCGCTGTGGCGACCCTGGATTAATAAAGGGACTAAGCCGACAAGAAAACGAATGAATGATATATGATGTAATACATATGTATTTTAGAACTAAGTATTTCTTTAAATTTCTTCATTATAAATCTTTAGGAAATATTTTGATCATATATGAGTAGGTCTTCTGCAGTATTGGTGATGATTGGGATGCAGATCAACAGATGATTCAGCAGAAGGATCCACCTTCTGCCACTTGATGATCAACTAGAAGTCAAGTTATTATGTGTTGCTCTTGCAACTGAGGCTTTAGCCAGGTAGTGTCTATTGTTTTACAGTGTTGTTGTTGTGAAAGACAGTGTTTCCCTCACCCACACAGATCTTGCCATCTCCGGTGGACTCGTAACCCTGGTCGCACAGACAGTGGTAGGTGCCGATGAGGTTCTGGCAGAAGGCATGAGCTCCACACACCGTCTCGTTGGCACACTCGTTCACGTCTGCAACACAAACACACACGGTCATTCTGCACATCCCTGACTGACTCCCGCTGCTAATATTAAAGCTGTGGTCAACAACTGTTGGAGAAACTGATCCAGCATCCATTCTGAGATATTTCAAAAGCAACGCTGCTCTCTCTTGAGTAGATACTGAGCTTAGCTTTTCAACCTTAGCTAGCCTAGCTAGCCTAGTTTTAAACAGCAGATGGAGCTTTAGGCTACGTTTTAACAGCAGACGGCGCTCTAGACTAGTTTTCAAAAGCAGACGGCAGTCTAGGCTAGTGTTTAACAGCAAGATGGTGCTCTAGAATATATTTTAACTGCAGATGGCGCTCTAGGTTAGTGTTTTTTTTTACAGTAGACAGAGTGCTAGGCTAATTTTTAACCGCAAATGGCGATCTAGGCTAGTGTTTTAACAGTAGATAGCAAGCTAGGCTAGTTTTTTACAGCAGATGGCACTCTAGGCTAGTGTTTTAACAGTAGATGTCAATCTAGGCTAGTTTTAAACAGCAGATGCCGCTCTAGACTAGTGTTTAAAAACAGACAGAGCTCTAGACTAGAATTTAACAGTAGATGGTGCTAGTTTATACTAGTATGTCGCTCTAAGCTAGTTTTTTAACAAATGACACTGCTCTCAGATAAGGTTTTACAGCAGTTTTAACAGCAGATGTCGCTCTAGGCTAGTTTTAAACTGCAGATGGCACTAGTTTTTGCAGCAGATGTCGCTCTAGGCTAGATTTTAACAGCAGATAGCACTAGTTTTTGCAGCAGATGGTGCTCTAGGCTAGATTTAAGCAGCAGATGGTGCTTTAGGCTAATTTTAAACAGCATATGGAGCTCTAGGACAGCAGATAGCGCTAGTTTTTACAGCAGATGTCGCTCTGGGTTAGATTTAAACAGCAGACGGAGCTCTAGGCTAATTTTAAACAGCAGATGGTGCTCTAGGATGGTTTTAAACAGCAGATGGTGCTCTAGGCTAGTTTTAAAAGGCAATTGGCACTCTAGGCTAAATTTTAACTGCAGTAACACTAGTTTTTGCAGCAGACGGAGCTCTACGGTAGATTTAAACAGCAGATGGCGCTCTAGGCTAGTTTTAAACAGCAGACAGAGCTCTACGTTAGATTTAAACAGCAGATGGTGTTCTAGGCTAATTTTTAACAGCAGCTGATGCTCTAGGCTAGATATTAACAGCAGATAGCACTAGTTTTACTGCAGATGACACTAGGCTAATTTTAAACAGCAGACAGAGCTCTATGATAGATTTTAACAGCAGATATCGCTAGTTTACATTTACATTTAGTCATTTAGCAGACGCTTTTATCCAAAGCGACTTACAAATGAAGTTTTTACAGCAGATGGCACTCTGTGCTAGTTTTAAACAGCACATGGTGCTCTAGGCTAGATTTTAACAACAGATTGTGTCTAGATTTTAAAGCTAATGTCGCTCTAGGCAAGTTTTTAATAGCAGAAGGCGCTCTAGGCTAATTTTAACAGCAGGTGGCGCACTAGGCAAAGTTTTAACAGCAGAAGGCACTCTAAACACTAGCCTAGAGTGCTGTCTGCTGTCAAAATTAGCCTAGAGAACCTTCTGCTATTAAAACTAAAGTCAGAATCTATTCAAGAGAGAACAGTGATGCATTTTGAAAATCTCAATATTAATTTCTTGCATGATGTCTGGCCACAGCTGTAGGTATTGATGTATGATTCCTCGTACCCACGCACTCTGCAGTGCTGGTGATCTGATAACCGGGCTCACACGACGCCACGCAGTGGAAGGAACCAATGGTGTTTTCACAGCGCTGAGATCCACATATCAGTCCTGTCGAGTCCTGACACTCATTCACATCTGCAGAAGCAAACCAGTACATACACAATTACATTTATTCTTCAGCTTAATTCAATTCAATTCAGCTTTATTTGTATAGCGCTTTTACAATGTAGAGTGTGTCAAAGCAGCTGAACATAGAAGATCGTAGTAAATGAAAACAGTGTCAGTCCAGTTTCAGAGTTTAAGTTCAGTTTAGTTCAGTTCAGTGTGGTTTAATTTTCACTACTGAGAGTCCAAACACTGAAGAGCAAATCCATCGATACACAGCTCTACAGATATGGAACCATGCAGGCCAGTGGCGACAGCAGCGAGGAACAAACTTCACCAATTGACGAAAGTGAAGGAAAAACCTCGAGAGAAACCAGACTCAGTCGGGCACGACCATTTCTACTGTGGCCAAACGTCTTGTGCAACGTCTGTGCGTCTTGTTGACTGTCCCTGGAGCGTCACAGGAATCAGTCTCATGCTCTCCGCTCCTCCATGACCACTGCAGCAGCTGCTCAGGATACGGCCTGGTCCAGGATTATGGGAACCTTGGGATCATCTCGTCGCGGGTCTTGGATTGCATCAGTGGTGCTACATAGTTTCTGGGGGCCTCGGGATGAGTATCACCAGGCAGAAAATGCCTGATTTATTAGGGGGCGCCACAGCGGAAGGAACCGACAATTGATCTGGCATATGTTTTATGCAGCGGATGCCCTACCAGTAGTAGTAGTGTGTGTGTGTGTGTG